GCATTCTAAATAATTTAATATTTTTGACTAAACTTTTAAAATGATGTTTTTTCAACATATTAAAATATATCATATAAACAAATATTAAAATATTACAACATTAACATTTTAAAGAAATTTAAATGATTTTTAAATTTTATCCAACAATATTAAATCATTTGAAAAGCTCCTGCAACAGTATTAAATCAAAGCCCAAAATTTTGTTTTTTAAATTCAGCAATGCTCTCAGTTTGCCTTATTTGGTGTAAAATTTGAAATTCACATTAAATAATGTAGTCTGCCCTGCACCGCTGGATACTGGGAGCGAGGAAGCCATAGCTGTGTGAACTACAGATTCTAAATACTCTCCCCAATATTACTACTTTTTGACAGACAATGAGGATTAATGAAGTAACTCAAGATAGCTGCCTGCACATTGCAAATGTATCGAATCTTATCAAATCTTATCAAGATGGAATTACTGCTAAGCTTACTATAGCTCAGTTAGAAGAGAATAATATTCATTTGTGGGATATATAGCTTTAAAGCGTCATGTATTCATCTGCACATAAAAATGTGGTTAATGGCATTTACTGTCCTGACAGGAAAAGTTGTGCCAAGCAACAATCATGCACATGGAAACCTGGTAATTGCATTTGGGGTCAAAGGCCGGTTACAGCCAATCGGATCCACAGGAGGAGTATTTAAACCCATCTCTCCTTTTGCTCATTGCCCTGTCGTGGTTTCATGCCTATGATTATCCGAGAGTGCATTCCTGATCTTGATTTTCTGGTATTTGACTTTGGCTTTGTTTTGACTACCCTGAATTCTGGTATCCTTGACTTTTGGCTTTCCCTCATCGTTGTGTCTGATTCTGTGTCCCTGACCTCGGCAAGTATTTTGACTATTCTTGGATACGTTACGTCCAGCCATACTAAGGTCCGTTATACGTTATCCTTAGTCCTAGGTGTGACACAGTACTGCGTGCTGGATCAACTTGTAATCCTGACAGTTACAATAACACTTACAAAGCAGAACCTACACAAATATAGAATCGCCATCTGATTATCACTGTGGGTGCTTTCTATCCAACACATTGTCTGCTTTACCTCTTGGTACACTATCAGTCTGCTCTATAGCCCTTCATTGGGTGAATGATCTGACTGGGGGACTGACTGATCCAGGGTTTGATAGGACTGCGTTTATTTTCACAGCTTTCTTTTAAAACAGCTGGGGGTAAAGAGACCCCAATATGTTTGGCTTTTTTTCCTCTAAAATAATTATATATGTGTAAATAACTGGAGTGCAATCTACTCACCAGAAAAGCATTTCATTGCGCAGTTTGAAAAATGAAAAAATGTGTGGTTTATAATTGCTTATCACAAAACAACTGTGGGACTATCCCTTTAAGAAGACAACTTTCTTAATGTTTCGAACCTCAAAAGTTTTTTCCATGAAACTGTTTGAAATATCCTGGCATCTCGTTCCTAACCTCCCCAAATTATGTTGTAGAACTGAGAAATAAAATGTTATGTTATAATGGTAATTTTTTTTAATAGATCCGTGATTGCACGTTTTGTAAGGTTTTTCATGGAACAGAACACGATCTTCTTAACGCAGCCACAAACACATCAAGTTTTACAACGGAACTGTAAAGCGATATTTTGTTAATCTGCCTAAAGTTCTGGATTTCATTACCAGAATGGCCAAAAAACTCTTTTATTTTGTTTCCAAACCTGCGAGGTGCTACTTCCAAATGTGTTTTACAGACAGGAAAGATCCAGGTAGGGCGCACCCGTAACTAAACACAGCAAAGGAAATTAATGCAGTCAACGTTCCAGAAATCCAGTTTATTGGCAAAATCATAAATTGGAACCATGAACACACACTTGGAAACCACTAAAGCGTGTTTTTCTTGCAAATTGAAGAATATCGCTGGCATCTTTGAAGTTGGCCTCCACTGCCCAGAAAAATGTTAAATGAAAACTAATGGGCTCCTCATTAAAAAGAAATTGTGAAATGTGTATTCCATTTACTGTTGATAAAGGAAAAAAACAGATAATTGAAGAAGTTTTACAGCGCACCTATCATACAAACATATCATAGCAGCATTTTACAACCCGTATAGACCTCATTTTAATAATTTTGGATAAATTATTCAATTTTTTTTTTTTTAATGCATATTTTGATAGTTTTATGATATATATTTAAAAAAATAATTTAAAAAAAAGTTTATCTAAAAGTTTTTAAATTTAGGTTATAATATCTCAGTACATTTTGCTAGGCCGACAGCATACCACTGCATGATCTATTAAATAAATTTATGTTGGAAAGTAAAACGCGCAGGTAAATCTGCATGTGTCTCACAATACCGCTGGCCACCCACTGATGTGTGCACTATACTGAATAGACCCAACCATCCGCTATTGATAACAGTATGTACGCACACATATATATATATATATATATAGAATGAGAGAGATTAACATTGCAAGTTCTGAGACCCCAGCCTACAATATTTCCCCAGAAATTCATTTATTTCCCCAGCTTTCTCTCACATACATGGTCAAATGTCAGAGGAGAAAGCAATATTTTATTCTGAGAATAAAGGTATAATTAAAAGGTATTTGAGATTAATCCACGAGTGCCCAGGAAAGGAAAATAATAAAACGTGATTAGTTTGAATACTGACCATAGGCCTATATAGATAGGAAAATATTGTTGACGGAGATCTGCCGAGAGACCAGCCAGGAGTAGGAGAAAGCCTAGTTTAATTTCCATGTTTAAACAGTATGCAAAATAACGAATAAAAACCAAAAATAACGCAAACTAATAAATAGAGCATTTCTTGGCTTTGTCCCGTTGCCTGTTAATATAATGAAATCCAGGAAGGAGCGCTCCCCTGTTGGCAGACAGAGATTTCATGGTGGTAAATGTCAGCTCTCTGTTTTCATTTATCTAGCTCATAAATATTATCCTGGAGCGGAGACACGAGGCTGTCTATTATTTGTGTCCTGTGAACCAGAAAATAAAGATAATTACAATAAACGTTCCGTGTGCCCTTGTCTCTTACAGAACATCCTGCAGTTCTGATAAAGCAGATTTCTAAACAATGAGAAATCAGAGTGTTTGGTGGTAAATCTCGTTATATGGCGACCCGTAGAACAACATGGATTTACCGCTAGGGAATCCCTCTCCAACTTTTCACTGTTTAGTAAATCCTCCTCCTTTAATGAAACTTTAGTCTAGAAATGTCTTCTTTAATTGGATGACTTGCTATCATTATTTGTTCTGGTCACTTTTTGCCCCCAAAAATGCATTTCAAACTAAGCAAATTATGGGTAATTCTTTCTCCTGAACAGTACGTCTCCATCTTCCCTTCAAAGTAAATCATGTGATTCTGTAAGGCAAGCATATCAAAATAAGACCCCCTTCCCTAAATGATGCCATTTTACGGAGAAAATCATAAAGATGAGGTCCAAAACAACTGTCATCCATAGACTGGTTAATAGCCCTGATAATGTATCGCACAGACTTTTCAAGCGCAATGAGGCACCTCTGCCACTCGGAACGGTCTAGTAAAGGTATTTTACATATTTAATTGTTTTAATTCAATTACAAATGTAGCCCCTGTGCTATTTTAACTTTTCCAGAACTAGTTGCTAAGCTAATATCACATGTACCATTAAGGCCCCTGTCAAAAATTGTATTCTTTAGAAATTCGTTCGTTCCACTAATTGGCCAAATGCATATCTAGCGTGTGTCCCTATTTAGTAGAACTATCTCTATTACATTACCAAATCCCTCTGTCCCTCTTTTCCATTCTAATGTCCCACTTTTCTAGGAGCTCAATGCTGGTGGTGTTTCTGAGTGTATAACAGAGTACAACAATAAATGTGTTTAGAAATCAGCCTGTTTAAATAAGATACATTAATTCTATTATTAATTATATTTTAGTTCTATCTAGATGTTTCACTAATATTTAGGTTACTAAAAAAAAAAAAAAAAATAACCCTGTCAATGGAATTCTATGAAGTGAGGGTTACAGAGTAAACACATTTTACAAAACAAATGTTTGAATCTAAACTAAACTCTGTAAACTGGCAATAGAAAGAAGGTGTTATTACAAAAATGATGCTTATTAAAACATATTGATCAATGTCATGCTATCATATCCCTTAATTATTCAATTTCATATCTTGCAATTTTTCAAGTAACCATCGGGGGCGCTCTTATGCAGCATGATTGGTGATCTGGAACTTATTATAGAATTCACAACCTATTCTATGATACACTTATACAGGTTCCTGTCATACACACTGTACTAACTGTCTATTTTAATAAAGGGACACAATAGTCACCTGAACAACTTTAGCTTAATAAAGCAGTTTTGGTGTATAGAACATGCCCCTGCAGCCTCACTGCTCAATCCTCTACCATTTAGGAGTTAAATCCCTTTGTTTATGAACCCTAGTCACACCTCCCTGCATGTGACTTGCACAGCCTTCCATAAACACTTCCTGTAAAGAGAGCCTATTTAGGCTTTCTTTATTGCAAGTTCTGTTTAATTAAGATTTTCTTATCCCCTGCTATGTTAATAGCTTGCTAGACCCTGCAAGAGCCTCCTGTGTGTGATTAAAGTTCAATTTAGAGATTGAGATACAATTATTTAAGGTAAATTACATCTGTTTGAAAGTGAAACCAATTTTTTTTTTCATGCAGGCTCTGTCAATCATAGCCAGGGGAGGTGTGGCTAGGGCTGCATAAACAGAAACAAAGTGATTTAACT